TCTCTCTCTCTCTCTCCCCCCCCCCCCCCCTCCCCCCCCCCCCCCCCCCACACACACACACACCTGCAGAGAGCAGTGGAAGTCATGTGCATCGTACCCAAGCGGTGCAACGACATGATGAACGTCGGGCGGCTGCAGGGATTTGACGTAATGCGCCTGTTGTTTAAAGTCACCCCTCTGGCTTCTGTCACTTTCTCTGGTCTTGGATTATTTATCTTCCCAGTAGAAAGTTGATCCTTGTGCCTGGTTTTCTGTCTTCTCTCACTTTACTTGAACCTGATTGATATTTTCTTTCAACTTTTTTTTTGGTGCATTTGATTTGCTTTTTGAGGACCTTCCTCTGCTCAAAGCCCAGCGCCTGATGGCGGAAACAGGCAGGACTCTGCTTTGTCTCTTGGAGCCTCTGGTGCTGTAACAGCAGAGTTTCCTTCCCCGGCAGGTGGTGGGAGGCAAGGGGCCCCTTGCACATCCATCGTCCCTGGGAGCTTGACTTCAGGGCAGCTGTGTTCAGTGTTACTCTACCAGACTTCCCTAGGAGTTGCCAGACCAGGCATATTATACGTTGCCTATTAGTACCTTAAAAGACATTCCGAATTTTTAAAAATTCAACTACTGAGTAAGGAAAGAGGACAAGTTTTTGCTTTTGTTGCCTACTGTTCTACTAGAGAATTAGGGTTTAAAGTTCGGGCTCTGTGGTTCTCAAGAAAGCACAATCTCCTGGAGGGCTTCTGAAAGCGCAGGACCCTGTGTCTTTCTAATGGGTCCTGCCAGGGTGCCCGTGCAGCTGGCACAGGGATTGCGCCTTGACAGCCTGGTTCAGTGAACTATTTATACACTTTCAGTCCACCTTGTCTTTGATTGTAACGGAGGCCAGAGACCCCTACAGAGGTTGGCAAGAATTTTGTCTAGATGACTATTCTGTTGGGGGCTAAGAACTCATTATAATTAAAGAAAAATTTAAGCTCTTTAATTAATAGAAGAAATGTACATTATTCTATGGGAACAAGAAAGGAAACAGAACTTCCTGTATCTTAACTTAGAATGCAATGTTCTCTTCTCTTCCTTTGCACCCCCCCCCCCTTTTAGGGTAAAATTGTTGCCCAGGGCAAGCTGCTCCTGCAGGACACATTCTTGGTCACGGACCAAGACTCGGGACTTCTGCCTCGCTGTAAAGAGAGGCGGGTTTTTCTCTTTGAGCAGATCGTCATTTTCAGTGAACCACTTGATAAAAAAAAGGGCTTCTCCATGCCGGGATTCCTGTTTAAGAACAGCATCAAGGTAATGTGTGTTTGTGTGGACACACGTACCCATCACGCTGATGAACTGTTTCCTTTTCAGTGATGAAATGTCTTGATCCTTTGTTTATTAAATGTTTGGAGAATTTCCTCAGATATTTTAGAACTTGTAAAAATTCACTCCATCCCTCAACTGTCTGCGTTCTGAAGTGGCTGTTGTCTTGCACGCATCTCTGTGTGTCCACAGCCGTTTCTCGTCATGGTTAAACATGATGAGAAGACCTTATCTGGGTTCGTTCTTGTGTACCACCATTCCTGTGACCACGTACAGCTTAAGTTCAGAGTCACGGATGTGGAATATTGCTCTAAGACCAGAGCAGAAAGCTTTCCCAGTGTCTTATTCTTTGCCTCCAGCCGATGAGGACACACTGAGCCGTCAGAGCTGGGTGTGGGGCCACAGGGGTAGGTAAGACAGGCAGTCTGTGCCCTGGAATAGCTTGTTCTCTGAGGAAAGAGAAACACAAATAAGTAAACATAAGTAAAATAATTGCAAACGGCCCCGAGTCCTATGAACGGGACAAACCAAGGGCAAAGCAGAATAAAGCAGAGGAGGGGGCTTGAGGGCCTAGCAGATGGTCCCTGGGAGATGCAGCCTGCTCACCCACCTCTCCCTCCCTGTTCTTTCCACGTTGGCAGCCTTGCAGCCCTGAGCTCAGAAGGGAGGCGTGCATCCCTGTGTTAGAGCCTCCTACCATCTGAGCCCGGAGGTCTCAGCACCCAGGTGGGACACCACACCATCCAGCTCCCCGTCAGGCTTCTGGTGGCCACCTGCAGCAGCCTCCCTGCTTCCCCTCCCTTCAGGCTGGGAGAGGCTCTTCTGCCCAACAGGACGTGGGAGGCATCAGGACTGGGCTGCATGAAGCTTCGGGCCTCTCCTGCCTCCCACTGTCCTCCAAATGTCTTCCTCCTGACAGACTCTCCACTCCATTCCAGCAGCATAGAAACCCTCTATATGTTCTTTTCCATGTCCTGCTTCTGTAAAACTGTTCTACATGTGATACCACATACAATTTCATAACGCGTTATACTAATAGTCAGGGGTTTTGGTGTTTTTTTTTTCTTCAAAGTTTATTTATCCATTTTGAAAGAGAGGGACAGAGAGAGGGAATCCTAAGCAGGCTCCACACAGTTGGTGCGGAGCCCAGCATGGGCCTCAAATCCACAAACCACAAGATCATGACCTGAGCTGAAATCAAGAGTTGATGCTTAACCGACTTAGCCACACAGATGCCCCAGTAGTCAAGTTTTTAAAATGGCATCATTTTATTTCTGGGGCAGAGAAGTCAGGGATACACAAACACCGGGTCATCATAAAGGAGTCAGAAAACCGGTAACTCCCAGGCCCTCGTTTCTAGTTAATATTCAAGCACTTAGTTAAATTCTTGGGAATCCCCTTGTCCCTGAGTTAAGAGAATCACTGAAAAGCATCAAGATGATGATATCCAAGGCTATAAAGATGACGGCTCAACCAAAAAAAGTTTGTTTCAGTTTTGACGTAGGATGAGCTTTACATCATACCTAGCTGCTGGGAATCCATGTGCTTTCGTTGTTGGTGTTGTAGTAAAATACACACAAATTTACCACCTTGGCCATTTTTCCGTGCACAGCTCAGTGGCATTAAGGACATTAAGTACGTTCACATGGTTGAATCAACCGTCGCCACTGTCCATCTCCAGGACTCTACTTATCTTGCAAAACCAAAATTCTGTGCTCATTAAACCACCACTCCCCATCCCCCCCCCCCCCCCAGCCCCTGGCACCCACCATTCCACTCTCTGCCTCTATGAATTTGACCACTCAAGGTACTTCATCTAAGTGAAATCAGAACCGTATCCGTCTGCTTGCGACTGGCTTATTTCACTTCGCATAATGCCCTTGGGGTTCATCCAAGTTGCAGCATAGGTCAGACTGTTCTTTTTAGGGCTGAATAGTATTCCCTTACTCATTCCATAGCCCGCATTTTGTTTATCTGTCCGTCAGTCAGTGCACGCTTGGGTTGCTTTCGCTTTTTGGCCATTGTGAATAATGCTTTAATTGTTTTAAGGTGAGTTGCCTTTGCCTGGAGGAAAACGTGGAAAACGATCCCTGTAAATTTGCTCTGACATCGAGGACGGGTGGTGTGGTGGAGACCTTCACTCTGCACTCGTCCAGTCCAAGTGTCCGGCAAACATGGATCCATGAAATCAACCAAATTTTAGAAAACCAGCGTAACTTTTTAAATGGTAACGTGTGTTCTTGTCTTTCTTTCTAGAAATCTACACATTTCTATTTCTGTTTCTCTTCTCTCTACTATTACATACCTAATAAATGACAGGACATATTTAGCACAGACTGTGTTTCAGGCACTGTTCTAAGCCCTTGTTTTATTATTACTTCATTTCCTTTTCACAGTGACCCCTGGTGGCAGGTACCACTATTATTCCATTCTACAGACGAGGAAGTTGAGGCACAGAGGGGATTCGTAATTTATTTCAAGCCCCACAATTTCTTCATTGCAGAGTCAGGATTCCAAGCAGGCCAATTGGCCTTGGGCACATGTCCCACACAGTCTCTCACACCATTTGTGCCCTGGAGCCCTGTCCTGGGAGGGGAATGCTTGAGAAAAACTGAGGCAGCAGACAGAGGTGGCCCTAGATGTCAGAGACATTTCTCCAGTGCAACTTTGAAACTTGGGTTGGCTGGCGTTGCTCATCCATACCTTCCACTTGCATTGGAAAACAAGACATATTTGTCCTTCCCAGCGTCCATGACATGAGTGATTACAGAGGAGCCAGCAAAGCACCTTAGGGGACATGTCTTCTCCACAAGGAGATGGACCATACTGGCCTTTTTAGAGCGTTCCTTTGACTCTTTATGTCGGCGACTGCTTGCTTCCCTTTGTGATGGCCAACTCTGACTCTGGTTCTAATTTGGCGATCATTGAAGAGCTCTGAGAATTCAGCCAAAAGCTAAATACTCATCTAATGTCTTCTCTCATGTCTGTGTTATGTCCCAGCCCAGTAGGATGTTGTAACTTCTTTGTCCCCATAAAACCATCTTCACACCTCACATGACATTCCAGAGCCAGGAACATAGGCAGTCAATGAAAAATCAAGGGCAAGGTGTTTTGGGCCAAGAAGAGGTCAGCTGCCTGGGTGTTAACTCAAGCAAGACTGATCATTTTTTACATTTGTAGTTGGAATTGGATACGTGGGGCTAGTGGGGGCCAGGGGACGGTCCCTGTGTGTGTAGAAAAGTTTCGCACCTAGGATGGTGAGTCAATGCAGGCCTCTTTAAATGCGTTGTTCTTAAGTGATGCATTCATTAAATGCTAACCCATAGCATGTAACTGTTGGGAAATCTCTAAATTTTTACCATCATCTTCAAAATAAAAGGAACTGCCTCCCAAACAGGAAGCCTGTGTAGGCCATGCTGTTAAAGTTTACTAGACACTCTCTTCAGTCTAGGCAAAGTCCTGTTCTGGAGGGTTGAGCACCATCAGGAATGCAGTGGGGGCTCTAGGCATGTCACATCTCTCCCTCTCGCCCTTTGTTCCAGTGAGAGGTCATGGCCAAGACAGACTTAGTAAAAATGTCATTCGGCTCCAAAATGCTTGTTCACACATGCCCGATGTCCCCCCAGACAGGAAGGGGTTCTAATTGTTGTATTTCTCAAAAGTTTTAACACTTTAAGGATTTGTGTTCGTATTTCCCCATATCTTACTTGGCATGTGTCCCTGCGGACGATTGTGTAACAAATGAAGCCATTGAAGTCAGGAGATGGGACGGCTACTGGACCAGTGGGGGCGGGGGGGGGGGGGGGGGGGGGGGGGGGGCGCGGTAGCAGGAAAGGGGGACAGGGGGGGGG